TTCTCACACTAGAGAAACTATTCGGTATTTACACATGTATGTCCTGTTTATTTCCCTTAAGAGTATGGGCTCAATATGCATCCATTTAGCTATAAATGTCTCTAGTTTCTCATTCTTTGTGGCTGAGTAATACTCCATTTTATTTTTAAAAACCCCACATTTTCTTTATCCAGTCTCCAATTGATGGGCAATTGGGTTGTTTCCAAGTTTTAGCTATCACGAATTGTGCTGCTATGAACATGGGTGCACATATATTACTGTGGTATGATTCTTTTAATTCTTTGGGGAAGATACCCAGAAGATGCAAAGGGGAAGGGGAAATGGGAGGGGTAGGTGAAAAGAAAGAAGGGAATGGAATTAATATGAGAAAAAGAAAAAATGGAAACAAACTTTGTAGATAGGGAGGGGTGGAGGGGTTGAAGGGAGGGCAGGGGAATGGGGTAAAAATAAGAACCAAGATAGATTATGTAAAGGTGCAAATTTCCAATGATGAATGTCATTGTATTGTGTACCTTAAATGTACCAATATAATGAATAAAAGAAAAAAAGACTTTAAAAAACAGTCTTGGATTTAGTTATGGCCAAGAGATCATGGATTATAAATAATTAGCAAGATAAAGAAGCAAATTATATAGTGTATTAGAAGGTTGAAAATAGTACAGGAGAAATGGTCCATGGTTAAGGGAATCAAATTGGGGGGAAGGAGAACATAGAGAAGTGATTGCAATTTCAAATAGTGTGGTTAAAGAAACTCTCATTGTTGGGCCAGGGATTTAGCTCAGTGTTTCCACTGCCTGCCTCGCAAGCGCAAGGTCCCGAGTTCAATCTCTGGTACCCACCCCCCCCAAAAAATCCTCTCATTGAAAAGTTAAGATTTGAGAACAGACTTGAAGGAGGCAAAAAGAGCATTCTAGGCACAGAACAGCATGACTGGAGTGACATGAGAGAAAGGGAGCAGAGCAGTAGATGAATGGCAAATGCCAGTGAACCAATGCAACCTGTTTTTGTAACAAGGTTTCATTGGAACTCAGCAATATTTGACATCTGTTAGATACTGTGTGACCTCTGGCTAGTAGATTGATCACACTTTCCACATAAGTCATCCTACATTCCTTTCAATCATGTCATGTCTTTGGAGAGCTGGGGTTTGGAATAAAATACAGAGGAAATCAATGTGCAACAGGAAATGAAGTGGGCAGTGTCCCATTTGATTTCAAAGTCTGACTTAGTACAGTGCTCAATAAGTATATGTTATCACATTAGCAAGTGGTTATTGGAGAGTGAAATAAAGTTGTTTTCCTTAAATTTACCTGAATTATTTTTGAAATGGCTAGTGTTGCAGCATTGCATGCATGTCCTCTGGCTGTTCTCAAAAGTCACCACAAATTTGGTAGCTTAAAAAAACTGAAATTTATTCTCATAGATCTGGAGGTCAAAGACTGGAATCTGTATCTCTGGGTGAAAATAAAGGTGTGAAGGACTATACTATTTCTGCAGGCTCTTGAGGAGTTTTTATTCCTTGCCTCTTCTAACTTGTGGCTGCTGGCAGGTGGCTGCATCACTCCAACCTTTGCCTCCGTGATCCATTATCTTCTCTTCAGTCTGACTGCCTCCATTATTAAAGGACACATAAGATTACATTTAGGGCTCATGCTGATGATCCAGGATTTTTCCTTGTCAAGATCTTTAATTCAATCACATCTGCAAATACCCTTTTTTCAAATAAGTTATGACTTATAGGTTCCAGGGCTTGATTTCTTTGAATGGCCACTACACAGCCTACTATAGGTATACATTCTTATTAAATTGTTGGCATTTAACTACTTAATAAATGTGACTGTTAAGAATTTATTTTGGCCTAATAGTGAGACACCAAGGGCTTGGTGAATCTAGAAGGTCTGGAACCTCTGAGTTAGAAGGATACTGCAATACTCCATGCAGGAAATGATGGTAGTGGTAGTGGCTCATACTAGAGTGGAAGTGGAGAAAGTAGTTTGAAGTGAACGGGTGGTAGATATAATTTGGTGGTGGGGGGGCAAATAGAATTTGCTGATATATTAGGTGTGTAGTTGGGAGGAAGGATCAGAGGTTTTTGGTCTGAGTCACTGGAAAGATGGCATCATCATTGACAGAGACAAAGAAAATTGCACCTAGACCAGTTTTTTTTTAGGGGGGGAGGAATGAAGATTCAGCTCTGTACATATTTTAAATAGTAGATTCAAAGAGAAAGAAAACACAAGTTTACAATTAGGGCCCACTTCTGAATTCTCCACGTGCCTACCAGGCTTACTACCTCTGTTAGTAGTCAGATGTCCCTCCCAGATGAGCCCTTTGACTCCTGTATTTAGATTTTTCATCAAAATATCTATTGTGCTAGTAGAGATATGAAGTATCATGTTAATCAGAGGGTACTCAGAAGGCCTTGTCAGCCTCTGAGTCTTAAGTAGTTTTGGGGAAATGGAACTTTTCTTTGGAGGACTAAAAACTACAAGGCCTTAAATTTAAAACAATTATGTCAAAGGATAGCAGGATTTTAGACTGATGGAAGCAGCAGTGCAGTTTTGAATCTCTTCAAATCCTCTCAAAGAAATAGACCAAACAAAAGTAAAACCCAAGCTGGGCATGGAAGTGGATGGCTATATCCCAGAATTTGGGAAATTAAGGAAGACTTGAGAATTTGAGGCCACCCTGGCCTAATTAGCAAGGATTGGTCTCAAAAACAGAAAGGGAGAGAGAGAGAGAGACAGAGAGAGAGAGAGAGAGAAAGAGAGAGAGAGAGAGAAAGAAACAGACAGACAGACATGAGTGGTCTTTACCACAAAGGTAGAGAACCAAGAACAAGGGCCAACTACCAACAGTACACACCAGACCTCTCTGAGCCCTGCACTTACACCAGAGGGTGCAGTAGACTGGAGCAGCCAGGAAAGTGAGCTACAGTCTCAAAAGCAAAGCTTTATCTGTATTTATAGCCACTCTCCATCACGGGCACTACTGTCTGAGCTCTGCCTCCTGTCAGATCATCAGCAGCATTAGAGTCTCAGGGAGTGTGAACCTTACTGTGAAGTGCATTTGTGAGGGATCTAGATTGTGTGTTCCTTAGGAGAATCTAATTCTGAATGCCTCCCCCACCTTATCCCCACACTCCCTGTCTGTGAAAAAAATTGTCTTCCATGAAACTGGTTCCTGAAGCCAAACAGGTTGGAGACTGTTGTTCTAGGGGAAGGAAGTTTGGCAATGTTTATATTAGGTACAAGCCAACAGGAACTGGGCAGCTGGGGAGGGGGTATAAAAATGAAAGAGAAAATAAAAGAATGAAAGACATGAAGAGCATGGAGATGTTCAAGAAAAAAGGTAGTTTGGGCTAGAATGTGGAAAAAGACTAAAGATTTCAAATGAATGCAGAAAGAGCACCTAGTGAAACCTCAAAACAAGGCTGCTTTAGCAAATGTTTAGGTTACTGGATTAAGAACAAAACTAAGGCTAGAATAGGGTATCACTAAGAAAAAAACCCCCAGCTTATCAAAAAAATCACATTCAGTTGTTTGGTTATTTTTATGTTGTTTCTAAATACAGATGGCAGTTGACATTTTAAAATATGAACATTTTAGAAATGATTCATTCTATAAACATGCTAATGTAAGTGGTTACTTAGTGCAACGAAGAAACAGAATTTTCAGTTTTCTTTTTTTTCTTTTTTTTTGCAGTACCAGGGATCCAACTCAGGACCTTGTGCTTGCAAGGCAGGTGGCGGCACCACTGAGCTAAATCCCCGGCCCTACATAGATTTCTTTCTTTTTTTTTTTTCATTTTTTAAAAATAAAGTTTATTAGAACATAATGTCTGAAGTTACCACATTTATCAAAAGTCAACACAAAGCTTCCAATCATAGATTTTTTTAACATGCATCGAAAGGACAAATTCCTTTTCACTTTTAAGTTTCACGTGAATACTACCTTATATCTTTGCAATAGGTTTCTTCCTAAAACAGAGTACACACTGACTACATACAGTACACAGTAATTAGTATATATATATTATTAGTAGCTTGTAGACCTAAGAATCAAAAGAATAACCTAAGACTAAAATGTCAAGCTCCATATCTCTAATTCCACCTTTGCCTAAAACAATTTTGCAGTTTTCTAACTCCTTTGCAGTTTTCTACATTAGAATTGTTTAAGCCTGGGCTATAGCTCAGTGTCAGAGCACATGTTTACCATATACAGTACAAGGCCCTGCATTCAATCCCTAGCTCCAAAAACCAAATCCAACCAAACCAAACTGAAACAAAACAAAAACCTATAATCTAGAACTGATGTTTTTGTTAGGAGTGCCATTTTCCTGCAGGTTGAAGATGGTTATAAACTAGGTTTTTGTTTTTTTAAATCAAACTTAAACATGTTTTACTTTTCTTTCCTCACAAGAACATAAAAATCACGAAGGGGAACTTAACAGGAAAATTTTTAGAAGTAACACAATTTTCCTTTTAGTAGTCCTTGGGTAGTTATGACAGAATAGTTTCCACTTTTTGTTTGTTTCTTTGAATGGGGATTTTGGTCCGAAGTTTTGTTTGTTCCTAGTATCGGCTTCTGCCTCCCCCTCTATCAGATCGGCTTCCTCCACGGCCACCACCTCTTGGTGCTCCACGGCTAGAACTGCTGTAGGAATCATGTGGAGGAGGGTACCCCCTTTCCATAGAAGGGGGAAGCGCTCGTTCTTGTCTGCCAACCCGATCGCGACCACTTGAGTAGAGATCACTTCGGCTGCTTGAGTAACTGTCTCGACTTCCACCATACCTGTCGCGTGAGCTGCTGTAATCATCATAGCGACTGCTTCCACCATAAGATGGCGGGGGCCCGCGTGTAGGTGGAGCACTACGTGAGTTACCGTAACTCTCATATGAATCTCTGTACGAACCTCCGCTTGGGTGGTCTGAATAGTCACGATCCCGACCATAGCCATCTCTATCACTATAGCCTCTTGATGGATAGTCATCACGTGAACTGGAATGGCCATAATCACGGTAAGTATAATCTCTTGGTGGTGGGGCATAATCTCTTGAATCACGAGAACTTGGGTAATCTCTGCTTGAATAGCTGTCTTTAGTGGAATATCCATCATCTCTTGGAGACAAATAAACATCTCTACGGGAGGGCAGGGTTTCCCTTCGAGGTGGGCCTCCGTAACTATCTCTTCCACGTGATACAGGGGCTCTTCCTCCCATTCCACTGCTGCTTCGAACTGGTCCTGAAGGTGCCGATCTTTTAGGAGGAGGACCCCCACTTCGTGGTGGTGGCCCTCTTTTCACTGGAAGGGGTCCTCTGGAAGAACTCATGTTAAAATTCATGGAATAGCTACCATCATCCATGTGCCCTCCATGTGAGGGAGGTCCCCTAATTCCCCCACTTCCTCCTCTTCCTCCTCTAAGACCTCTGGGAGGACCTCTGCTTCTTGGAGGTGGAGGTGGCCCACGTCTACCACTTTCAAATGATGGTTTGGTGGCTTGTTCCACCTTGATGGCTTTTCCATCTAAGGACTTTCCATTCATGTCCCGAGCTGCATCCTTAGCATCTGCTGGGCTTTCAAATGTAACAAAAGCAAATCCTCTTGATTTATTGGTTTCTCGGTCTTTCATCAAGAGTACTTCAACGATTCGTCCATATTTTCCAAATACTGCTTCAAGGGCTTTCTCATTTGTTTCTGTATTAAGCCCACCAATGAAGAGCTTTCCTGGGCGATCTGCTTCAACCATTTTGTTTTCCTGGTGAGTCTGCAGAAAGGTAGCGAAGGTCTCAGGCTCCTACCAGCTCTTGGATAAGGGCTAACCACACAGCCCTGGACAAGTGACAGTTACCCAGTAGGGGCACAGAAGTGAGGAGCCTCTAGCAGTACTGCGCAATGAGATAAACTAGGCTTTGATGATAAATAAAAACTTTCCTGATCCTGTTTAAGTATTTTTTTCTGCGTGTAATTTGGCTATATTAATTAAAATACCTAGAATAAAACAAAAATACAAAAAAATTAAAAATACTTAACAGTGATACATGCATACCCATGTTTACAGCAGCACAATTCACAATAGCTAAATCTTGGAAGCAGCCTATATATCCATCAATAGATGAATGGATAGAGAAAATGTGTTTTTTTATATACAATGGAGTACTACTCTGCCACAAAGAAAGATACACTTGAGTCATTTGTAGGAAAATGATTATAGTTTGAGACCATAATGTTAAGAGAAATAAATCAGACACACAAACTTAAACATTGAATGGTTTCTCTTATAAGAGAAATCCAAGGTATAAATGAAGAGCAAAATAAAAGATAGATAATAGGAAGAAGAAAAGTAGATTTTTCTAAAAGGGGAAAAGGATCAAGAGATAGAGGAGGGGGGAGGAAGAAGGAGAGGGAAAATGGATGAAAAAAAGAATTAAGGCCAGGTGTGGCAGTGCATGCCTGTAATCCCAGCACTAGGGAGGCTAAGACAGGAGGATCACTCCAAGTTTGACGAAAGCTTGGGCTACATAGTGAGTTAAAGGCCAGCCTAAACTAAATAGTAAGACCCTGTCTCACCCCCTTCCCAAAGATCTTATGTACATGTACCAACTCCACACAAGGAATGTAAACTTTATGTATTGCAAATATGTACAAAAAAATGAAGTAATCAAGAGCTCAGTGGGGGGGGGGATAAAAAAGAATTAAGATGTATTATGTACATGAACCAATTCCCCACAAGGAATGTAAACATAATGTACTATAAACATGTACTAAAAATACCTGTCTAGTGTGATCCTTGGTGGGTAGAGAGCTATGAATGATCATAATAATGGAATTCCTTTACACTTGTTTTGCTCTCCAGTTTGTACCAGATTTTTTTTGCCTTCTTTTGTTCTTGGTTTCTTTTTGAGATAAAATATCCCTACATTGCCCTGGCCTCAAAATTTTGGGCAGGAGCAATCCTGCCTCAACCTCCCCAGGGGACTACAGACATAGGCTGCAATGCCCAGCTTCAGAGAAGTCTTATTGAAATATTTGTCCACATGAATTGTAGCTACCTATATTTTTCATTTACTGTCTTTTGCTCCTAGTTACACATTTTTAAACTGATATTATTTCTCTGTACATACTGGTTAGAAATTCATTCAAAGGCACTTTCTATTTGGGGCTATTTTTGGTTAATAGTACTTACCAAAATAAAATAGATAATGGCCACTTGCCTAAAATTGCATGTATAATAGTACTTCATTTATGAGTAAACTTTCTATGCTTTGATGCTTGCTGAATTGGTAACTATATTATGCTTTGTGGCTTGTATCCTCAATTTTCACTATTATCTATATTTTATTGTAGAGAAAGATTAGAGGGACATAGGCAGGGACTCAGGGCAAGATTGGGATGGCTGATGATGGTGGAATCATCACATGCGTATTTTTGTTTTTCCAGTACCGGAAATCGAACTCAGGACCTTGCGCTTGCCAGGCAGCCATAGCACCGCTGAGCTATATCTCTGGCCCTCATCACATACTTATATATGGCTGACGATGACGACTGTAAATTTATCACATGCTTATCTGTGTACCATGTGCTTGAAAAAAAAGCACCCTATTGTATTCTTATGAAAATATTACTTATGCTTAAGGAACCCCTAACTGACCTTGTCCCCTTCCCAGAAACAAAGGCTAAGACCCGGATTGGCCTAACGACGTCAATCAACAAAACAATTTGCCCCTATAAATATGTACACATCTCATATTCACCTGGCATCCCGAGCAGGATGCCACCTATCTTGCAGCACCACTCCGCTGCAAAAATAGCTCTTCTTTCTCTGCATTCGCCACATTTTAAACTTTTGTTTCCACTGCATCAGTCTTGACTCCCTCATTTTCCGCTAAGAGCCCCACTTCATTCTTCGCTGGAGTGAGGTCAAGGACTGGGAAGAGAGGCGGAGGGTCATTACCGGGGATCCCTAGCCCACCAGCTCAGACTCCCTCCACCCCTCCCTGACGCAACATTGGTGGTGGGAGGGGCTTTTTTTTTTTCTTTCTGTGCTAGGGATTAAACCCAGGGCCTTCTCGTTGAGCTATGTTCTCTAGCCCTTTTAAAAAGTTTTATATTGAGACAGGGTCTCAGTAAATTGCTAAGTTGCCCAGGCTGGGCTCAAACTCCCAGTACTCCTTCTGGAGTCTCACAGAGTGCTGGGATCACAGGTGTGTGCCACCGCGCTCAATTTATTCTTTTTAGTTCTGTGACGTTATATGTGTTTCATTTTTGTCTGTCTTTCCAGAACTTACTATATCTTCATCCACACAAATCATATATAATATGTGACTTTCACTCATGGATGAATTATCACTGATTATTATTATAATCCTTTATAGATGAGTAATCTGAGAGTCAGAAAGTTTAAATATCTTTTTTCTCCCAAAAACCATTTCTTGAGAAACTGAATTCTCAAGTAGCCATTTTGACTTAATGATCAAAAGCTAGCTTGAAGAAGGTGCTGTGGTCACCGAAGTCCTGTTTACAAACCTCGCGTCTCGGTGCGCCTAATGTCATCAGGAGTGGCCGGGACGCAAGCGCAGTAGCGGCACTGGAGCTTTTTCCGATCCAGCCTCTAGCTCTGGCGTGGAGGTCTTGAGAGCTGAGGCTCTGACCCCGTGTGAACTCATGGTATCACGCCTGCAGTGGCTGGGGCCGCTGATCGGGACTTTTCTGCACATCCCTCACCCTAGAGGAAGGGCAGAAGCTACATCCCGGAAGGGTAAAAAGCCCTGGCTCCGGGGCTTGGCCTTTCAGGCTGGTAGCGTCTGGGCGCGGGCTCCATCTCTCGCGCTGGCCCATCCGTCCTCTGCTGATAGGCCTTGGCTCTCTGCCTCGACACCCGCAGTAGCTGAAAGAACAGTGTCGGCCGCAGCAGCGTCGAGAACCAGACAAGCGTTGGGGGAAGGAGCTCAGAGGGCACCAGCTCGGCCAGCGTCCCTGTACCCGCCCGCCCGCCCGGCCGGCCGGCCTCGCCCGGCAGGCGCCCGTTACCTGCGAAGCGGCAGCAGTAGGCCCGACGGGGCTGTGCGGCGTCACCTGGGGTTGGCAGCACCAACACCTGGAGCTCCCGGCCTCTGCCCGCCCCCTGGAGCAAGCGCGCAAAGCAGCCCCGGCAGCGCCACCCTGTGGCCTGCGGAAGGCTAGGACCAGAGTCCAGCTCACAAGCACGATGACACTATTTTAAAATTCAGGCAAGTGAAATAAAGCCGGACCTGGTGGCGCACACCTATAATCTCAGCACTCAGGATGCACAAGATCAGCCTGAACTACACAGTGAGACCCTGTCTCAAAATCGCATGGTCTCTCTCTCTGCTCTCTCTCGCTCTCTCTCTCTCTCTCTCTCTCT